ACAGCTTTACGGTTGGTCTAAGAGGACAATGGTTGAGGCCATTCTTCAATAAATCAAAGAACAAGAACGGAGTCTGTTTATTGGAGCACCGTTATCTAGCAGTCTAGCCTTGCAAAGACAGTAGCTTGGGGCGAGGACAGCAAACATTACTTACTTACTTCACCCCCATTGCCAAGAATGAGTCTGTTGTGCGTGAATGGTTAATGGTGGTCGGAGGGGCTGATGGCACATACTGGTTGCCTCGCTTCTGTCAGTGTGCCTCAGGGCAGCTGTGGCTAAAGAAGTTGTTTATCACCACCGTGTTTGGAGTGAATGAATAATGACATGTGTTTATGGTGTCCAAAAAAAGCGCTATATAAAACCGATGCATTATTACTTTTAATCTGAAATTTCCCCACTGGGACAAATAAAGGAATATCTTATCTTATCTAGATGAAAAACAAATATATATTTAATTTAAGAAAAGCTATGGCAGTTGTTAATTGTTACAAAGGGTATATTTATTCATTTCACTACACAAAAAATACCTATTAGCTAGTAAGTGTTTTAGTGTTTTCTAGTAATTTATGTAATTAGAGCTCATCTCTTGCATCAGTGGCTTTTATTTTGTTTTAACTTTTTAACATGAAGACATATTGAGATATTTTGAATTATTATTGTTTTGATTTTCTCTTTTGGAGAAAATTACTTTGGCTCTGCTTGGATTTAACTGAAAGTAACATCTGAGTAATATAGACGGATTTAAGTCACAAACCATCATGTCACAAATCTGACTCTTTCCCTGCCACAGCTGGGATGCCCCAGGGCTCTGTCAAGGGACCCCTCCCCTTCATCATCCACATTTTCCCTCTTGGTTTAATATTTTGCAAACACAATATTAACTGTCACTACAACACAGATGACACCCAGCTCTACCTCTCAACCAAACCTGCAGCAACAATGTCCCTTTCTGGACCAGCGTGACACCTGTGATCACAGAGGTTCGAAATGTTCTCCTCCAACATCCTTAAACTCTAAAACAAGCTCTGAAACTGAAGTCCTCTTTGTAGGCGCACTTTCCACTCTATCCAAATCCAACAGTTTTTCTATTTCCATTTTCAACTGCACTGTCTTTCTGCACAAGTTAGGAGTCTGGGTGTCATCCTCGACAGCACACTTCCTTTCCACTATCACATCTATCACATCTATAACATCACCCGCTCTGCCTCCTTTTCCTTTCGTAATATCTCCTGTTTCTCCTTTCTCTCCTCCACAGTCTCGGATCTACTTCTGTTTGATCAAGCTGCAGCTCTTCTAAAACTCTGCAACCCGAATCATTACCAGGACAACTTACTGTTTTTTTTAATGTATTTAAATAGTTCACAAAAATATCTAGCATCGTCAAAATAGACCTATATTTAGAATAACTGGAAGTCGTGTTAAATGTGACAAAATAGTATTTTTTTTACAGTGTGGAGCGCGACTTCATATTTTGTGAAGACAGAGGCATTAATTATTCATGCTTTTGTCTGGAGCGAGCGGGCGACAGGTTGTAGTGACGGAGGACATGTTTCCCTGACGCTCTCTCCTTCAGCTGTCCTTGTACTTCCTTGTTCTTGCTGCAATTTAATTAAAGGTGACAGTCCCCTTAGCATGTTTTAAAGGAATAGGGTTTTGTTAAAGAAGTGGCACCTTGGTCTATATAGAACAGAACACCGGGAGTATTGTTATTGAAGCACTTTTGTCTTAGGTCATAATAAAGATGCTTTGCAGTGTGCTAAAACAAATTAGAAAAATAAAAGTCAGATACTACATTATTTTGTTTTTTCTTTTATTCCAGATATTATTTAATTGTAATTTTGTTCTTGTGTGTGTATCTTCTCAAAATAATAATAATCATAATGCTTCGGATTTATAAAGCGCTTTTTTGGACACTTATGTCCAATGTCATTGTTCATTCACTCCATACACACTGATGATAAACTACTACTGTAGCTACAGCTGCCCTCTGGCAAACTGACAGAAGTGAGGCAAGCAGTAATCTTGCCTCAATCTTGCCTCACAGTAATCCATCACCACCAGACTCATTCTAGGTGATGTAGGTGAATTGCCTTGCCCAGAGGTCACAGTACTAGGGCCTGGTTAGTACTGGCAAGTTTATTTGTATAGCGCAATTCATATTAAAAAGAAAGATAAACATATAAAATCCCTCAGTTGTATGCACAGCTAAACAGAACTGTTTTTAACCTGGTTTTAAACATTGTCAGAGAGGAGGCCTGTCTCACACTTTCAGGAAGATTGTTCCAGATTTTAGCAGCATGAATCTGAAAAGCAGCCTCCCCATGTTTAGTTCTGACTCTGGGCACTAACAGGAGTCCAGTCCCTGTGCTCCTCAGAGTCCGGGCTGGTTCGTATGGTACTAACATGTCACTAATATATTTTGGTGCGAGGCCATGGAGAGACTTGTACACAAGCAGAGCTGATTTAAAATCTATTCTCTGAGCCACAGGAAGCCAGTGCAGAGACCTGAGAACTGGACTAATGTGGTCGTACTTCCTGGTTTTAGTCAGGACTCGAGCTGCTGCATTTTGAATGTACTGCAGCTGTTTTACAGCCTGTTTGGACAGACCTGTGAGCAGGCCATTGCAGTAGTCTAACCTACTGGAGACAAATGCATGGATAAGAATCTCCAAGTCTGCTTTAGACACCTTTTTTGATCCTGGCAATGTTTTTTAGATTGTAAAAAGTTGCTGATGTAACTGATTTAATGTGGCTATTAAAATTTAAGTCTGAGTCCAGGTTTTAGGGAGACAGACTCTAGGTGACAGATGACGTTCTCTCTTTGTTTCTGGGGACCAAAGACAATAATTGCAGTGCTGTCTGAAGTTAATTTGCATAAACACACCAATAATGTGAAATATAACATCTCCGATCCTTAGCCTTCTAAATCCTTTCCAATATCAACTTTAATGAGGTTTGAATGTGCTGTAATGGTTTTCTTTTATCATTTATCATCATAATCTGTTTATTTCCAACCTGCAGGTATATTTACATACTTCAAGTTGCATATTGTGTGAGTCATGGATGCTGGAGTTATTTATATTCTACAAATAAGATTGTTCACCCACCTAATAAATAACACCTTTGGTATTTACTGACATTTGTTGGATTAGATGTGAAACACATGTGATTTGGTTAACATTTCACACATTGAGGCTTGAATAGAGAAATAACGAAAACGCTGTTTGCAAACGTTGAGTGTGAATCAACGTCAAGGCAGAAAACATATCAATGATCCACAGGTGTCATAGATTTCAACAACACAAGAGACCAAAGCGCAATATATTTTTGTTGATATCAAGGCTTCGTTTTAAAAATCCAAATAATGAGAGCTTAGACTCAATGTCTGTCATTCCTAACTTGTTCTGCTTCTGTTATAATGAATCTTTCAACAACTCAAGTAACAACAGTATACAACAGAATACAATCATAAATGCTTTTATTGTAAAATGTTTGTGTTTCCTCCTTTGATCACTAAGGATGGATGTGTGTGTCCTTTTTTCCCAGACATTGCATTTGGCCACATACGGTGTTTAAACATGTGTGGCCTTTAAAAAATATATATATATGTTTATGACAAGTAATACGTGTTTGGTTTAACTCTTCAAAACAAGCTGCAGTAACAGTCTGCACTGTTCAAAATGCTGCAACGAGTCTTGACTAGAACCAGGAAGTACAATGGCATTTGTCCAGTTCTCAGATCTCTGCACTGGCTTCCTGTGGCTCAGAGAAAATACTTAGAATCAGCTCTGCTTGTGTAGAACTCTCTCCATGGCCTATAGCACCAAAGTACATAATGTGACTTGTCCCATAAGAACCAACTTGGACTCCACTGCACACAGTCAGAACTAAACATGGGTAGGGAGAATTTCAGATACATGCAGGTAAAATCTGGAAATGTGTCCCAAACAGGCTTCAACTCTGACAAAGTTAAAATCCAAGATGAAAACAGTTCTTTTTAGCCATGCATACAACTTAGGGGCTCTTGCATACTTCTTTTGCAGAGTGAAGTGGGTAATTTAAGGTTGCTCAGCACTTTTCATAAAACGTATTAGCCTTTTTTTCTTTCCTACAAGGTGATTGTGTGCTACTTCTGTAGCTGCGCTTGGACAGACCAATAGAGGACTGAAGATGGTCCATCCAGCCTCTACCACTACGACTCTATAACTCTTCTAAAGTTTCCTAAATTGTACTAACTGTATCAGTGGCTGTAGTAGCTGTATGTATCCCCTTTCAAGTTAGTTTTAATTGAACATCTAATTTACTGTTGCATCAAATTTGTCAATGTATATACAATCAGATGAATCAAACTTTTAGGATTTATCACAATTAAGTGAATTCTGCAGGGATTTTAATGACAGTACTTAAACACAATATAAAATGTAAGTTCTTGATCCCTGTATGAGAAATTGAGGGTATGTATAAATGTCAAATATGTACAGCCTGACAAAAGTCAGGTGAATTGTTATACACTCTATACACGTTTTGTAAAACATTTAGAACTCAACACACCGTCCACTATGAATTACATATTTGAATTAGTACAACTCATTGCTATTGTCATGACAACGTTGGTCCATGATCTCTTGTCACAACATTTCCATCGTAACCATGGTTTTGTGTCGTCATGACGTTCTGGTCATATATGTCATCACACGGAACTCTTTGTCAGACAGTGTTGGGGTGTTCTCATTAGACAGTTGTCAGGTCTGAGAAGGTATTTCAGAGCATTCAATAGGGTATCCTCAGAGCATATTCAAGAAGGTATTCTCAGAGCAAAATCAAGAAGGTATTCAAAGAGCATATTGAAAAAGTATTCTCAGAGCATATCCAAGAAGGTAGTCCAAAAAGTGTTATATAGAATACTCTACTGTGCTAATTTGAGCGCATAGTTTAGTGCATATTCAGAAATGCAAATGAGGACCAACTGCAGGTTGCAGAGACAAGACCTCTGCCTGAAGATGGTCCAGCCAGTTGGACCGCTTCACTGCAGCACCAACCAAAAGTTGCAGCAAAGTCTGAGCAAGGAGAGAAGGAGGTCTCATCAGCTGCACCAACAACTCAGAGACCAGATAACTATTTCAGAGGAACTGGTTCAGCAATATTTTCAGCGGGAGGATGAACTCAACCGCAAGTACCAGGAATCTGTTGAAGTCAGTGAGCGAAAGATTCAACAGCTTGAGGAGAAGCTATCGACTCAAGAGCAGACCACACAGGATCTGTTCCATGGACTCACTGAGGAGAGACTTAAGAATGTGGAGCTTCTAGAGCAGCTGGAGAGGAAGGTCAGGTTCAAAGATCTCCAGGACCTAGAGAAGAGAGTCAAAGTCGTGCAGCAGGAGCTAATTGCAAAGGAGAGCTTTCTTCAGGATAGCAGAGACTGTGAGGTGCGTTTGGATCAGCGCGTCAGGGAAATGTGTCAGCAACTGTGTGAGAAGGAACACTCACAAACACAACTGCAAGACAATGTGACTTCACTCAAACAAGCCGTCAACCAGCTCCATCTACAACTGAAGGACCAACAGGACCAGTGTCAGCAGAACGAGGCCAGACTGAAGGACCAGTATGAGCAGAATGAAGCCAGACTGAAGGACCAGTACGAGCAGAATGAAGCCAGACTGAAGGCCAAGTATGAGCAGAACGAAGCCAGGCTGAGGGACCAGTGTGAGCAAATTGATGCCAGACTAAAAGAAAAGGAAAAGTACATTCACCTCCTTAAGAGAGACATGACCGAGCGCGAGAACTTGTTCCGGAGCCAATTTCTTCTGCACAATAACAAGGTGGAGAAGCAGATAGTTGAGTGCCGTGAGCTCCGGGCTCAGCTGCAACAAGAGCAGCAACTCACACTCAACCTCAAGGGAGAGCTACATGCACTAAGAGAGGCAGAGCGGTCTAGGCAACACAAAGCCCCCCCGCCTCCTCCTGCAGCGGCTCCTTCTACAGCAGCCCCTCCTGCAGCAGCTCCATGGAGGCGACTGCTCGGCAGCCTCTCAACAAACTTCCACACACACTGGGTGGATAGAGGGGAGAGAAGCCAAGAGACTTAAGACCTCACAAATGTGTTGGCCTTAACCACTGCCCTTGGCCATGATCCCTACCCTTGGCCTTGACCCCTGCCCTTGGCCTTGACCCCTGCCCTTGGCCTTAACCCCTGCCCTAGGCCTTAACCCCTGCCCTGGGCCTTAACCCCTGCCCCGGCTCTTAATGATAATAATAATAATGCATCGGTTTTATATAGCGCTTTTTTGGACACTCAAAATCGCTTTACATGTCATTATTCATTCACTCCATACACGGTGGTGATAAACTACTACTGTAGCCACAGCTGCCCTGGGACACACTGACAGAAGCGAGGCAACCAGTATGTGCCGTCGGCCCCTCCGACCACCACCAACCATTCACACACCAGACTCATTCTAAACTTGCCTAAGGACACAACGGCAGTTTGGCACTTTACAGCCGCAAAGACAGTGGGAGTCGATTGTCGGGCTCGAACCCACGACCTTCTGGCTCAAAGGGCAATGCTCTATCAACTGAGCTACTGTCGCCTGGGCCTTAACCCCTGCCCTGGGCCTTAACCCCTGCCCTGGGTCTTAACCCCTGCCCCGGGTCTTAACCACTGTCCCGGGCCTTAACCCCTGCCCCGGGCCTTAACCCCTGCCCCGGGCCTTAACCCCTGCCCAAGGCCTTAACCCCTGCCCAAGGCCTTAACTCCTGCCCCGGGCCTTAACCCCTGCCCCGGGCCTTAACCCCTGCCCCGGGCCTTAACCCCTGCCCCGGGCCTTAACCACGGCCCCGGGCCTTAACCTCTGCCCCGGGCCTTAACCTCTGCCCTGGGCCTTAACCCCTGCCTCGGGCCTTAACCCCTGCCCTGGGCCTTAACCCCTCCCCTGGGCCTTAAACTCCTGCCCTGGTCTTTATCTCTTTTAGTAACATAAACAAAAAATAATAACAATTTTAAAATATGAGTAAGTGATTTTGATCTTTCCATAGAACACAACTTGTGCGTGTCTCTGTCTGTATCAGCATCATCAGACTGAAGAACATCATTATGACTTTTCATCCCTCAACACAAGCTGGGACCCACCACACACTGGATATCTTAGCAATACAAAAAATCTTGTTGGTAATGTGTTGCTAGTATAGTTAATTTGTGTTTCTAAAGGTAAAAATAATGTGGTGCACTTTGAGGATTATACCTAGTGTGCATGTTTTGTAGTCCCGTTCCGACCGGGATTAGAACACAGGACCTTCTTGCTGAGAGGCGAGAGTGCCTTTAGACATCTCTTTAGATAAGATAAGTATTTCCAATAGTAAATGTATTTCTTTCAAACAAATTTACACTTTATTCTATCAAACCCCGCTCACTAATTCCATATCTCTTTAGGAGTTTATTCAATTAAATTGTGTAACTTTCATTGCTTTAAGATAACACAAAATACATTTTTCGATACAGATTTCAAAGATTGGTTTTACTATTCCTCAAATCCAAACAAACCAGCAGAGACTATTTCTTTCTACAAAGCAAAAAGACTGAGAGTAATGTTCTGCACAAAAGATGTTACCTGCATGTTCAGTTCGAGTTTGAGAGGTTGTGTGAGAGCATCCGCTGCATGTCTGTGTTGGATCAGGTGCAGCGTCAACATTGGACAAATGGTTTGGTTAAAGTAGTCATGCTTTGATACAGCCTATGAAACTTTATTGTCATTTAGACAGTTATTCAATATTTAACCTCTTTAGAAGGATAAGCGGAATAGACTTAAAATAACTAGACATTAGTTCATGATGAACTCATGATGACTCATCATTACCAAAGTCATCTTGGACAAAATAAACATATTCAGTGGTTGCCAAATATCAGGGGTTATGTTCTAAAAATAACCAGCAATAGGTGTCCGCAATGTAGAAGCTATATGTTTTAAGGCAGCATTTTTCTAACCACCTGAACTCCTGACTGCTGAAGTGCTAGTGCAGAAATATCAAACCTGTTAAACCTGTCAAAAGGAGGAGACTGCGCTGAGGGGCAGAAGCAGGACTGAGGGCTACGGGAACACCGTAGTCCTCTGACCTTATCACCGTGGTGCACACAAGCCACCAAAGTTTTCTTCTAACTTTAAATAAGGGTAAAAGCTATAGCAGCGGTTATAGGATGTTGTATATCATGAATAATTAGGAATCATGAGTGTTAGAGTCCTTATTGCCTCTGGTCAAAAAGTTATGATTAATAATGTATGCGTTCATGAGTTCATGATGTTAAAAATGAATGACTCATGATGAATTAATGCATTCATTCATGTTGAGTTACTGTAAAAGGGATAAGCCTTTACATCATGGACACATTTATGAATTATTGTAAAATAGTGCACATAATAGTCACATATTCTATTCTTATCTCAATCTATATGGCAAAAAGGGTTGTTAGTGCAACTTATAAAAAAACTGCAAACTTCAACAATCCTACCAATTTTTGTATCAGAAAAAATATATAAAATTCACGTAACATCCCATTTTCCTAAAGAGCTGACAATACGGCACATTAGAGCTCTAATGTTAGACAAGTGTGTCTCTTGAAATTTACAGAAAACTCTCAAACTCAGCCAGACGTGAGCACAGACACTTTAAACATGGGCTGCTGAATCACCCTCTGCTCCCTTACCTCACCCACAGCTGATGAATTTCATTTTCATTCTCCACACAGCGTCTTTGATGCAGCAGATCAACCAACTGCAAAAAAATTCATTCCAGCACCAGACGAGATTCTGTCTGGATTTGCCTTCACTAACATTTGTGTAAGGCTTTGAATCATGAACATCTCAGCATTTGTTTATGTAGATACAAAAAAAGCATCTGCTACTTTTTACTTTTTTAATTTGTCACCGTTAAAAATGGCCAACATATTATTTTTCAATCAAGAAAACCATGAAAAAACATGATGGGGAAATAAAATACTCTAACATGCATCATCACTAAAAAACAATTGTTTGAAATTAAAATGGTAAATTGTTTGTAAATGTTTTTCACCTTTAATATTCACACACATTACAGACACTCCTAATAACCCCTTATATTAATAACCAATACATTGATGAGCGCTACTCTCGTTTTCACTTGTCTGTTTGAAAATCTGAAGCTGAAGCTGGCAAATTAAGTGAAGACTGGTGATAGTACCAGACAGTTAGGTTCGAGGTACAGTAGTATTTTGTCACTCCTATTTGTGAAAGTATGACCATGATATTTGTCCAAGCATATAATTTAAAATGTTTACATTGTTTGTTTCTAGGCTTAACAAATAAATACTATTCAACTATTTTTAATCTACTGTACACTTCAAACTCTCACCTACAGTACTGTAAATGGTCACAGGCTTATGACCAAAGAACAATAGGTAGGAATAGTTGGAACTCAATCACGCAAGAAGATCACGCCTCCTGTTCTGAAAATCCATGACATGCTGGAGCGATGTTTCTCTGCTAGCCTAGGATTACTCTGGATTCCCTTAGAAGAGTTGGAGCCAGGTAACCAAATTGCGAGATTTGCTTATCTCTGCTCAGACTGTCTATTTCCCGGCAACAGATAATTGAATGGATGTTCTATGGTGTAAAGGAGTTTGGAACCCTTTAGTTCTTCTCCGCAATTGAAGGCCAGAGGTTGGTGAACCGGGTGAATTATTGGCACAAGTAGTTAAGGTACATTTATTTCAAACTCTTTTTAAAAACAGGAATATATTATTTCTATTCTAAAACATAAACACCACCAGGCCCGTCGGAAGGGCTGTGCGACCTGTGCCGTCGCACAGGGCCTCGCACCACACAGGGGCCTCGCAATCTTCATTCCTTTTTTTATTTTTATAAATACAATAGTTCAAGGGTCCCCAAAGGGCAGACTGCGCTCCAAGTTTGGACCCCTAAACCAATTTCTCTGGACTTCTTTGATTTCGTTTAATCAAAAGACAATTTTTACAAGTAAAGTCAAATTTTCACCAAAAGGGATTTGTAAACAGGCAGGCGCGCGGGCAGCTATGTATGCAGCGGGTCCTCCGAAAAAACTTTACGGAGCTGTCAGATAACTTTAGCAGTGTCTGAGTGAGATACGAAGAAAGAACCGGGAATGATCGCAGTGTAGGAGAGATGGATACTCGCGGAGGAGGAGCAGTGAGACAGGTGTGAGCAGAGGAGCAGACCCCTTTGTGTGAGCAGAGGAGGAGGAGGAGGAGGAGGAGCAGTGAGACAGGTGTGAGCAGAGGAGCAGACCCTTTTGTGTGAGCAGTGGAGGAGGAGGAGGATCAGCGGTGTGACAGGTGTGTGAGCGCTGTTATTGCCAATGTTTAGTCCGAATATCCACATCAAAAACATATTTTTAAAAGCATTAGCAAACACACTGTATGTCTAGCTTTAGCGGCCACTGCGAGTGGAGTGGATTTTGGGCATAAAACGCCTTGTTATGGTCAGAGTGTGTGGAGGAGGAGGAGAAGGAGCATATGTTGTCAGAGTGTGGATGCATGGCAAAAACGTTATTTGCCATGCATCCGGAGTCAATATAAATAACGGAGTCAATATAAATATATATATTGACTCCGCCTCATAGCCATTTTGGCGCATTTTGCCGAAATCTAACTATTAGAAGAAAAAGACTTTTGAGTTGCTCTGCCATTTTGCCACAGGACGAAAGAGCCATGTCAGCTAAAAAGACCGCGACCAATGTCGCAATGCCAAGTGCCATAGTGTTTGTGTGTGCGTGTGTGCGTGCCCGCGCCCAACGCTGCATAGGAGCGAAGACACTCGGCTACGCGCGTGCTGATCTCTTCACGCACCGCGCGAGGTGGTGCTGAATTCATGTCAAAGATTATAACAGGAAAAAATTTCCTCAGATCTGGGAAAAAAGTGTCAGGGCAGGGCCTCGCGTTTCGAGTTCGCACTGGGCCTCGCACCCCCCTTGTGACCACCACTCACACTATTCACACAAACACTACAATCTAAAATGCCTTACACATATACAAACTAAATGTATAAAACAAACTGAAGGTCGGTGTATTCACAGGACCCAAATC